GATCGAGTCCCACATCAGGCTCCCTGATCTGTGGGGAGCCTGCTTCTCTCTCTCCCTCTGCCCCTCCCTGTGCTTCTGTGAGCGCGCTCTGTCAAACAAATAAATACATAAATAAATCTTAAAAAAAATTGTTGTCAATAATATCTAGGTAACATTGTGATTACAAAATGTTTTTTTAATATATAAAACAGCATTCTAAAGGATCCAAGAATACAATGATGTCTGAGATTTCCCCCCAAAATGCTCCAGAAAAAGGGAACGGGGTAGTAGAGAGTGAAGCAAGCATGGCAAGATGGGGATAGTTGCTGAAACTGAAGGGTGACCGGTACCTGAGTGTTCACTGCAGCCTCCAGTTTTGTATATGTTCGTTTTCATAATACTTTAAAAATAAACACCAATTTAAAAAAAAAAAAAGTGCCAAGCACAGAACCAGGGATAAGGGAACCTGAGTCAGGTTTGCTGGGCACTGGAGCCTGGCAGAGGCTGAGCCTCACCCTGAGAGTAGAGGTGCACGCGGTGAATGCTCCTCTTCAGCTGCTCCAGGCGCTGGTGCATCTCCAGGGCACCCATGCTGTTGCAACAATTCAGCTCCCCCTGAACCGCACAGAAGAACTTTGCCTACGACAAGGGGACAGGCAAGGCAGGAGGAAGCCAGACAGGTGAGACGCCCGCCGGCTGCACTGTCCAAGCTGGGCCGCCTGGGGCTTCTGGACGAACCCTACTCTGCAGCTCCAGCTAGGCCCGAAGGCTCCCTCCGCACCCAACCCCCGCCCCACCCCGCCCCCAATCTCCTATCCTCACAGCCCCGCCCCAGACGACAGCGAGCTGGAGCCGTGTGAGCACCCGCCCCCGTGGTCCCCACCCCGCCTCCCCCGTTGCAGCCCCGCCGGCCCGCTCGCACCCAGAGGAAGGAGAGGAGCCCGCGCCCCTCGTACTCGGCCAGCTTGCCCTTGCGCACCACCCTCTCGGCCAGCGCGGGGTTGCGGTCGATGCTGCGGAAGAGGCGGCGCAGCGCGCGCTCCGTGTAGGTGGCCGCCTGCCTCTCGAAGTCCTCCTCGGAGATGAGCTGGCAGAAGGTCACACTCTGGGGGAACTCGCTGTCGAACTCGTCCAGGACCTCCATCCCTGAGCGGCTGCGGGCGGGCCTGGGCGGCCTGGGGGCGGAACGGCCGTCGGGGTCGGGCCACCGAGGCTCCAGGCGCGCCGACCCCCACCCGCCTCGGGTCGGGGGACAGGGGCAGGTCCCGAGGGCCAGGGACCGGGTCGCCGTGGGCTGCGGGGCGGGCACCGCGAGGACGCACCTGCTCTCTGCCCCACAGCCGCCGCGCCGACGCAGCCTCCCTCGGCGTGCCACCGCCACCGCCCCGACTGCTCTAGCCAATCCCCCCGGAGCTCGCGGGCGGGGGGCCAATCCGCGCGAGGCGGCCGCACGTGACAATGCCCACCGCTCTGGGCATGCGCTCTGGAGCCTTCGACGGGGCAAACGCTGCGGCGCACCGCGGAGGCCTCGTCCCGCTAGCGTGTTGCAGGCCTTGATGGGGGAGCCGGCCATGACCACGCAGAGAACATGGTCAGCAGCCATACTCTTCAAACTTCTTCTTTTTTTTTTTTTTTAAGATTTTATTTATTTGCGAGAGAGAGAATGAGAGAGAGCATGAGAGGGAGAAGCAGACTCCCTGCTGAGCAGGGAGCCCGATGTGGAACTCGATCCCGGGACTCCAGGATCATGACCTGAGCCCAAGGCAGTCGCTTAACCAACTGAGCCACCCAGGCGCCCCTCTTCAAACTTCTTTAAAGCTCTCTCCCCTCCCCATTCCTTGTGCTCGCCCTCCCTCCTCGCGGTCTGTAGACAACACCCCAAGGGCTTCACTCAGTCCCTAACTCCTCTAGTCCCAGACTTCACTCTTCCTCTCCTGATTTACTCTCCAGCATCAAACCCAACCCTCCTCAGCTTCTGTCTTCTCTCTTCCCCTGTATGACCACTCCTTTGCTCTGTACTCGCGGTTTCCTCTTCACGAGCATCTCCAGCTGCTCCTTATGCATTTCAGAAGGCCCCATCTTCAGGGTACCATCTGGGACGATCTTACCCCACTTCTTGGTCCCAACTCAGAGCTGACTTAACTAACTCTAACCTGCGTCTCAGGCTCAGACCTCCCTTGAATTCCAGAACCACATCCAAGTTTCGGCTGGGGTCGTTTCTTGGGCGTCTCATGCTGAACATATCCAGTTTGGCATACTTCTTCCCTCCCAACCCCAAACCTGCTTCTCTTCTCCCTTCCTACTTGATCAGCGATGTCACCACCAACCACCGCAGCCACATTGATAAGGGGGTCCACCCTGGATTGCTTCCTCTCTGTCGCCCTCCACACCCATTCACCCCGATCAACCTGAGATCCATGGAGTGTATCTGAGAAGTCAAAAGAGATTTTTCACCTCCCACTGCCAAACCACCAACCCTCTCCCAGCGTAGGCCCTCACTTCCTCCTGCTTTGAGGTCAGAGAGCAAGATGGAAACAATCAAGGAGGAAAAAAAATTTTAGCCTAGGGGTGCAAACAGATATGATACACATGGGTTCAAATCTTCATTCTACTTCCTGATGCTGTGTGCTTCTCTCCCACTCCCCCTGCTTGTGTTCCCTCTCTAGCTGGGTCTCTGTCAAATAAATAAAAATCTTAAAAAAAAAAAAAAGACTTTACTTTGAAATATATAGTATTTGCCTTTATATACAGCACAAATCCTCTGAGGGGTCAAACAGACCCCTAATTAATCCCCCCCACCATGTTATGCTAATAATACTTCACACTATATGTACTTATTTGTATTTTTTAAAGTTGTATTGGCCCCCTCCTCTGTGCCAGGCACTGCCAAGAGAGATATAAAAAGGGACATTGTCCCTGCCCTCAGGGCTCCCAGTGTAATGAGGACTTCAGCCACAATGAGAAATTTCAATCTAACAGGCTCTGCTGGAGGGATATTGGATGCTGTGGAGCCCAGGAAAGGCTTTCCATAGGAGGGAACATATGAGCAAAGCCCTGAGTTCACAAGCATCCCCCAGCAAGGGCCAGAGACAGCTGTATGAGGGTCTCCAGCCAGTGGGCACAGAATCTACCCAGAAATAAGGATGGCCACTTCCAGCCATGGATGCCCGGTCTTCTACCCCCCAGGGTGGCGGTGAAGCTGACATCTTGATGTGCTCAGCCAGGGGTGAGAGGTACTCCCAAATGCCCATCTGGAAACGTAGGCCTCCTCTCAAAGGAGACAGGCTTGAATGACTCACTGGGCACATAAAAAAGCCTTTTGCATTGCGGCAGGTCCTGATAGAGGAGGTGGCCTTGCAGGCACGCCTGGGGCCTGGCTCCTTGGCAATCCCCCTAATTGTAGCTGTTAGGATGTGCATGCCAGGCACCTCTTGGTCCCTCCTGCAGTCTCAGGGCAGCATACCTCCCTGTAAGAGAACAAACTGGCATGGTTGATGGGTATCACCTGTGGGCTTCATAGCCCAAGTCCACCCACCCACCCCAGATAGTGCTGCTCCTAAGAACCCAGGAGAATGTTCTCTCCAGAGTCTGACCCTCCCCAAGCCCTCAAGGAGGGCTGGGTGTAGTTCACCTGCACATGCTCAAAGTTGAGCTGGGTCTGAGCCAGGCAACACAGTGGGTCTCCATTTCTCCACAAGGCCCTGACCGAACCTGGAGTCCCCAGTCTTACCCAGGGAGTTAGTGTGGAAAGATCTTCTTCAAACCAGAGCTTTTCTGAATCCAGGGCCTCTGCCCCTTGCTCCTGTCCAGCCATAACCTAGAAGGAGAATTTATGGGAGGATCCCCCAGCTCTGCACTCACCTAATCCTCTGATGGAGGGTCCAGCCCAGTTCCGCACCTGCTCCTAACTGCTAGGAAGTGGAGTGAGGCCCCAAAACTCCCTCCCTTCAGGCGCTATGGGTGGTGGGCTGGGCCTGACCGATGCCCTTTCATCATTGCACTGCTTCCCAGTGGCCCACAGTAGTGCAACAGGGAAAGAGTGTCAGGCAGGCCTGCCAGCGCCTCTCCCGGTGGTGGTCCGGTGGTGGTCCGTGAGGATCTGAGACCTGGAATGCAGGCCCACTGGGGTGGGGCTTCTGCCTTGGGGGAAGGGTGCCCTCTGACCCTAGAGGCCCAGGCCTGGCCAGGATCTCAAGTTTCCATGGAGAAGGGAGTGAGGCCAGGGAAGGGGGGGCGGGGAGAGGGCCTGCAGGCCCAAGGGGCCCGGCCTGGGGAGGGGGTTGGTAGTGTGGGGAAGGAGGGGTTCCCAAGGCTGGTCCTAGATGCTTTGACAATATCATTGCACTGCTTCTCAGAGCACAGTAGTGCAACCTCGTCAGAGCACCTGGGGCCAGCTGGGGGGACCCCCACGGCCCCCAGTAAGCTCAAGGCGGGAAGCTCAACCGTGGGTGGGTGGGGTGGGACTAGGGGCCCTGTCCTGGACCTCAAGGCAGGGAGGATTTCGGCAGGGCTGTGGTCCTGGAGGTCGTCGGAAATGTCCCGGCCCTTCCCCAGCACGCTCCACATTGCGGTGCGGGAGAGACCCCAGACTGAGGGGTAGCTCCAACCCAGGAGCGGGAGCGGACGGGGGAGGGGGCAAACACACAAAGGAGAGGGACCCGCGCTCCACCGCAGTCCGAAGCCCACTCGCGCACGGAGCGAGGGTGGGTACAGCCCGACGACCCTACGTCCTCACTCGGTCTGCGGCTCCGAGAGAAGGAGGGTGGCCCGGTTCCGAACGACGTTCCCCTGCCGGCTCAGGCCCCCATCCCTGGCCCCTAGCCCCCAACTTGGGCTCCAGTCCTAAAGATTCTCTTCCTGGCGGCCCAGAGCGAAGCAAAAGAACAAGGGAGGCTTCCCGCCCTTCTGGAGTCCCCTGCCCGGAGAAGGCGCCCGGGGTCCGGGCTGCGCCCCTCCGCACAGTCCCGCCGGGTAGGGCCGCCCTGCCTGTGCCCTTCACCTCGGACCCTGCTACTCACGCGGCGGAACGCCCCTTCCAAACCAGGCCGGACAGGACGCGGAAGGTTAGCGAGAGAAAGGTCCTGGCGGTTGGTCGCTCCCGTCATCCCCATTAGGACGACCCCGCACCTCGTGGCGCCCTCTCGCTCGCCGGCTCCATCTTTAACTCGCTGACAGTCGGCGGGGCCCGGCCCCCGGCTTCTTAGCATAACGCCGCGCTCATTGGCCGGAGCCGGAGCGGGGCTTCGCCTCCTGCACGCCTATTGGCTGAAACAGGAACGATTTCAAAATAGCCTCCGGGCTCCGATTGGCCGGGAGCGGGCCAAGTCCCCGGCTCCGTGGTTTTAACAATGAGTACTACAAACACTTTCTCCCCATTCATAACTTATCAAAAGGAATTTTGCCCGCCTTTTCTCAGCTCCAGTCTCCGCGAGTTTAATAGCGGCGCGGGCAAGAGCACTTGGAAGCCCGGAGGGGGGCGCCGTCCGCGCAGCTGAGCCCACTGGGAAGAGGCCTGCGATCCTGGGAAAACGCCCGAACCCTCTGTCTAGTTCTCTGTGGAGCAGGGCCGCGGGCTGCTTCATTATGCGTGCTGACATCGCTCCCCGTGCCTCCCGGACAAGATACTCGGCTGCAGTGGGCTTCCCGGCTGAGGTAGCCCCCGCTCCCCAACCAACCCCACCTCATCGCCTGGCTTGACCTGAAGCCACCCGGTTAGGCCTGGGCTGCAGAGATCTGGTCCTGGAGCCCGTGAAGCCTTGTGGATCTGGGGGAGGTAAGGGGAAGAGGGTGCCAGCTTGAGTCCCCCCCGCGATTGCTATCCACTTTGTGGATACACATTAAGTGCCTACCCAGAGCTGATGACCCATAAGGATACACACCGTTCAGCCTTCACACAGCTGCAGTGTGTGTATGTATGTGTGTTGGTGCGGGGTTGGGGGGGGGAGTGTTAGGCTACAGTGCATCACTACTTCCCCCCCTCCCCCATTTTATTCTCTCAGTCCAACGGCTGAGAGCAAAAGTTTCTGAGGCAGGTATAGCTGGGTTAAATCTTTACCAACCTGCTGCCTCCTCTGCAAAATTAAGACAATTGAACCTGCTTCATAGAATTGTTGCCAGGAGCAAATGAGATACTGTGTAAATCGTTGGCCAAGTGCCCGACACTTAGTGTTCAGTAAATGCATGCTCTGCTGCTGCAATTTAATTTTTGGTCTTGTCCTGCATTCTGTCTAGAGCCATCTTAAGTGCTCCCACAGCTTCAGCCTTGGTTCCCCAAGGATCCTACATGCTGTACACTGTTTGCTTCTGCTATTCGTCTAGGTGTACCACAATCATGTCGCAGGTCAGGTAAGTGATGGGAGAGGAGCTTAAACTTGTAGACAATGCTTGATGCGTTTGGCAATGGAGGGATCAGAAGGTCTGTGTTTGACCAGAGCAGGAGCTCATGGGTTGAAAGGGTGGGGAAGTAATGGTCCAGGGCCTACAGTGTGAGCCACTTCTCATCAAGTCTCACAATTGGCTAGAGCTTTTCTCACACCCCCATAAGGCCAATTGATTTCTCACCTGCAAGGTGCTCTGCCCACACTCCTCCAAGCCCTTCCCACCAGCTGCTACGCCCAGGTTCTCCTTGGGCTCTTGTATTCTCATTCAGAAAGTGGCACTCTGTACCCCCAGCAGCTCCCTTAAACCCCTCCCCTCCTACATATACAGCCCCACCTGGGCCAAGGTAGCAAGTCCAAGAAGTCTGTAGTATCCCCCATAACCTCTAGAGGTCACCTACACACCAGCAAAACTAACTGTTCCCTTCCTTTATTAGGGCCCTCCTGTTTATTGTTCCTGACTTTAAGTTGCAATGCTTTGCCTGCCGGAATTGTGCCTCTCCGTCCAGGAAGCCTTCTCAGGTCTCTACAGGTAGCAGGTCTTTGTGGTTACCTTCCCTTGCAAAATCTTTTGAAGTTTTGTTATCTCCTTGGGACCCTGGAAAGTTGTAGTGGGGGCTGGAGATGCCACATGCCCAGGCAGGCTAGGGTGTGAGAATTTAACACAAAGGCTCATGGACCTCAGGGGCTAGGGAACTGGGGTCACCTGCCATCAGACCATCAAAGGGTGGAGAGGGGTGTTGTGATGGCAATGTTGGAATACTTGAAAGAGCATCAAGGTTTGGATGGGTTGAACTGTCATTCCGTGCTGGAGACAAGAGGTTTTGCACTAAGGAAGAGATGGTGAACCAGGTCAGGGAGGCTGGCACCTCCTGGTCACCCCCAGGCTTACAGCAAAACACAATCACAGACTAACATTCTTTAATCACAAAGGCACTTAAGAACCCCTACAAACCCAAAGTCTCCACCAAGAGTGGTCCTGCAGATGCCCCACCCTGCTACCCTCCATCCACCCATCCATGGCACTCAGAGTTCATCGTGACCTGCAGAGGGATCCACACTGGGCTTGATGAAGATGCCTTCCATGGCCTTCCACGTGTTGTGTGTATTGGCACTGGACATGCCATGCACTTCGTGCTGCCCACGGATGGGGCTCCCATATTGCTCTCCAGTGACTGACAGGAACACAGAGGTGCCCACGTGCTGGAAGCGCACAGTGGCCTCTCGCTCCCAGTGCTGCCCTGAGCAGCGCACGGTCCACAGATCCAGGTCGTCACCCTCACCGTCTTCCCCAAAGGCGCTCACCTCCTATGGGTGCAGGGGATAGAAGGACAGTGCTCACCAGAGGCACACTGAATCCCCTGTGGTCACTTTGGCAGCAGCACTCACACCCAGGGCACTGGGCCTTGAGTCGTTCCCTATACCCTTCTGAGCCTCAGCTTCCACAGCTGAAAAATGGGACACTACTCCTGTCACCCCCAGCATCCAGTAGGCTCTCCCCAACACGGTCTCTTCAAACACATGCACATCCTACCCCATCTGTCTGGGCGATAACCACTGGCACCCAAGTAGCTAAGACCTCCTCCTCTCTCCTTCATGTTCCCCTTCCTAACCTCTCTGAGCCTCACTCAGCATGACATCCAACCCCTAGGCCGATAGGTCTCTATTTCATACTCTCTCTTCTGACAAGTCCCCCAAGCAGCCTCTGTTCCTCCCCAATCCCTCCCTGACCCCACAACCCCCTTATACCCCAACTCCACCCCTCCACCTCTCCATCTTCCAGTTCCAGTGAATTCCATTGGAGCACAAGCTCTTCCCCAGGCCAGGCAAAGCCCCAATTCCTCCCCTCTGTGGCCTGGAGAACTACTCATCCTTCCAGACCCAACCTGCGTTTCTCCTCCCCTGCCAGGTTTCATATTCCCCACCCCAAAGGCCTTGTGAGTCCCCTTCCTGGGTCCAACCCAACCCCAGGAGATAAGCTATCCAGCAGATCTCTCTTCCTGTCAGCTGCCCCGCAGAGGTGGTGCTCAGTAAACATTTCTGAATTGAAATTCCCATTTCACACAGGAAGCTGAGGCTCAGAGCCACTGAGAGGAAGAGTCTAGATTCTGTCCCTGCCCCCCCCACACACACACACAAGGAGCCTCTCTGGGGCGAGGGCTCACCTGGTTGTTGGACAGCGGCGACGGAAAGTGGTGCGTGTGCAGGTTCTTGCCAGTTAGCACGTGCGTGAGCCGAACCGCCTGCCCGCAGCGCACCGGGGACCCGCGCGAGCACCCGCCGTCCGACCCACCGCGGATCCGCCAGTAGCTATTGGCGTCGTCCGACGCCTCCACGCCAGTCACCGACTGTTGGCCGCTGCCTGAGGGGCGACACCCCACCCCACCCCGAGGTCGCGGTCAATCTCTGAACTCCCTACCCTTGACCCAGACACCATAAACTTTCCAAGACAACCTCAATCCTGGGACCCCAACGGCTCACTCCCAGCCCCCAACTCTGGCCCTTGGCCCCTGGCTGAACTCCCAAGTCCCTTGGCCTGCAGCTCCCGGACGACCCTCCTCGACCCCGATATCCCGACGACCCCCTTAAAACGGCCGGTCCTTGGCCCCCTTGGTCACCCAGCCAGGCTCCTTGATGACCCCCAGACTCGTAGCCCTGCAGAGTCCCCCAAGACCACCCCACCTTCAAACCCCCGGCCCCGGGCTCCGCCCCCCTGATGATACCCCAGTCCCGGGCCCCGCGCACCGGATCCGTATTTGATGTCATGCGAGTGCAGCCGCACCCTGTGTTGCGTGTTGAACAGCTTCAGCACCGACCCGCAGGTCACGAGCCCTGCGCCGGTCTTGGCGGCACCGCTGCTCGGCACCAAGAGCGTCAGCAGCAGCCCCAGAAGCGCCGGTCCGGCAGCTCTGCCGCGGCCCGCGCTCCACATCGCCCCGGCCGAGCTCCGGCAGCTCAGGCCCATGGGACGCTTCCGTCTCCGCCACCAGCCAATCCGGCTCTGACAGAGCCTGTATGGGCAGCCAATCGCCAGCCAGCACGGCGTTCCGCCTGCATTGCCATTGGGTCGGCATTGAGTGGACCCGCCCCCGGCTTGCCAGAGCGGCGACTGGGAGGGGGCTGGAGACACGAGGAGGGCTTTGATTGGTCCACGCTTCCAAGGACTCACCAATGAATGCTAAGGGAAGTTGGTGCGGCGCCGAGAGGTTAGAGAGACGCTGCGGAGCGGCGCTGTAGTTTCGGACGACCCACCCAGGGGCCGCTGAAACCCTGGACACCTGGCTGGGGATCACAGGACCCTGCGGGCACGTGTTCACAAAACCCCTTGATCTTGGATCGTCGGGCTTTCAATCACGATCTTTCCTCTCAACTCTGGGTCCTCAGCTTCAGGGTTCCTGGACCACTAGATTTTGTGGTCACGAGGTCGATGGATCTCAGATACTGGATAACTTGGTTCTTCAGTCCCTGGATCCCGGGATTAGTTAATTCCCCAGTCATTCGGTCATTGACACCTTTCTGAGAATGGGTCACCTCAGTCCCTGGACCCTGGGGTTTTTTAATTCCCCTGGCAACTCACTGACTCTTTCCAGGGCAGAATCACATGCACTCGGCCATTGGGCAGCAGAGGGCAGCAGGGATCTGTGGTGTTGAGGATAATGATAGGTTCTCACCAGAAAGCCCCAAAGTTTCTTAGGAAACCAGAACCCTGGGAGACCAAATGACTGTGGGTACTAAGTGTGCCAGGTTTCTGATATGAGTGGGTCGCTGTCTCAGTGCCTTCT